CATTTGAGATATCAAAAAAGTACTCCAGAGTGTTGTTCAGCATGGGGGTGAGTAGAAAATGAAGGCTAATCATGTTTTGGGTGTACTATTACTTTAAGAGTTTAAAAAAAAAGTCCCCCATGACATTATATACAGTATCTAGTTAGGAAAATGTAGCCCACTCCTTATTCTGAACGAGGCCAAATGAAGCTCTAGTATAGTACCAGCTTTTATAAAAACATATCTTTAATACTCTTTTTTCCTGCACTGCTCAACTTGATTACAATAACCTTTTTACTAAATGTATTATTTGAAGTAATTATGTTACTGATTATTATTGCCTCAACAGAAATACGTTGAGCTAAAAAAATGGTTTGTTTAGTTATCTTTCCAGCTGTATCTCACCGTTACCGTTTCTTCAATACAGCAGATATACATTATTTTTAAAATACTGAGAAACGGAAATGAAAAGAAAACAGGGATGAGTGTTAATTTCACTCTTTAATACTTCTTAGGAAAAAAAAAGAAAAAGGCAGCCAATGGCTTCAGCTTGTTAGCAATACTTGAACATCTCCACAAAGGAAGACTTATGGCTCGACTGATTTGTTTTTGTCTCTGTCAACAAAGAAGGCCTTTGTTCATGGATTATAGCGGATGAAATGCACCAAAAAATAGATATAAATACCAACTCACAGAAGGTGAGTTAACGTTAACAGCAGGAATCAAGCAGCATCTTTTGCTAAGCGTCCAATCATGAAGCGACGCTACGATTCACCGCTGTGTAGAAGTTACACGAGTCCCTTTCAGCCATGAGACGTAAACAGTTTTAGGTTGTTTGAGGCTGATCCAGACATCTCAGTACCACTTGATTGAAAAGAGAAAAGCTTTATGTGCTGTTGGCCTGTTCCTGCTCGAACAGAGCCATGGCGAGGTGCGACCGGGACCCCAGGCTCTCCAGGTTGCTGATTACACAGCGGTGGTAGATGTCCTCGCTGAAGCGAGGGTTGCACGCTCGCCGCACATATTTCTGGATCAGCGCGGGTTCCACGGCCCTGAACACGTGCAGGCCGGAGTAACGCACGAAGATGTCGTACACGTCCATGGTCTCCATCAGCTCCTCGTTCTCTAAAATGTCGGCGGCCATTTTGGTGCGGGCGCTCATGTAGTCGGCGTTGTAGAAGCAGGCCTCGTCGAAGATGTGCCGGTCGAAGTGGCCGTCTCGGAGAGACTCCGAGGCGAAGGTGGAGGCGGCGGACGGCTGCTGGTCGCGGTAGATGACGGCGGGGTTGTACTCCTGGAAGTGGATGGGGAAGAAAACCTGCCAGTTGCTGATGGCGTTCATTCTGCAGCGGTTCAGGAAGTCTGCATTGACCTCGGTCCAAACACTTGACAGGAAGAAAAGAGTGTCCACGGGGTGCTTCTTAGAAATGATGTCCATCAGCTTGACCTGTGAGGGAACCTCAGTCTTCACGCTAATCCAGGGAATCTTCACGTCGCCGTAACGTTTTTCCACTTCTGCGATCATTGACTTGACGCCAGCGAACACGTCAGTCTGGCTGACCCTCTGAGCGTCGAAGGGATCGTAGATGAACAGGAAGGTCAGTAACACGTTGTCGTGGGTGTCCAGAGTGTTTGTCACATACATGTCCAGGAAGTTGCCGACATAGTCCTGATCCTGCGCGGTGACCGGCAGGATGACCTGCACCCGTGTGGCCTCTGTCACATAAGGCATGGGGATAATCTCTACGGCGCTAAGGGGTCGGAGCAGGTTGACCCTTTTAGCGATAACCTGACTGTGGCCCTTCTGGGTGAAAGCCTCCAGCGCCAGGTCGAGGATGTACTCCATACCACGCGTGGGATCGAAGCGTCTGTAGCCGTTCAGCAGGCGGCCTTTGCGGAAGCGGAGCTGTGGCTGGTAGTGCTTGTTGAGACGTTCCACGGCGACCTCCAGCACGGCGCTGACATCGGCTCGGTCGGCTCCTCTCATCTCGCATTTAGGCGAGCCGTCAGTGCAGGAGTAAATGTGGTCCTCAGTGAAGTAATCCCAGTTTATGACCTCAAAGCGGGTTTTGGGTTTGAAGGGGGAGTTGATTCCTATTGGCCATGTGATCCCTGCCTTCCCCTCAGGAGTCAGGTGGCTCAGGTTGCTGATCTGCATCTAATGGACACAAAACAGACCAAAAACAGTTCAACCAGAGGGAGTATTGGTTCATTTAAAAATAAATCAAAATGCTTTTTGACATCTCAGCAAAAATCATTTTTGTTAAAATCTAGTATACTACTCTGTAACCAGAATCTATTTATTACATCAAACATGATGGATCTTGTTGGTTATTTATTGAATTATTCATTGATGAATGTGATCTTGATGACTTGATGAAACCTTAAGGTTGTTAAGTCACCACAACAGTTTTTCCATCATATTACCTATAAGGATTGACTGACGTGTTTATAGCTGCAGTATCTCATAACAGTTCAATGTTAAACTTTGTCGCTTGTCTAAGGAGGCAAATGGTAGATTTTAAACTCTTGTTGTCACAATTAGATTCATCATTAACCTCAAGCTTGTCTTTTCATAATGGTTTCATATCTTCTTCAAAATGGCCTCTAAGAGCTTATTGTAATTATTCACAGATAATGAATCATTTTCTGAATATTATTTCGATATATTATCTCTGACCTGTGTGTTGTAGTTACAGTTTTGCCGTCTTTCTTATAATGCAGAACTCTAAAGCTTGGGTTTTGTTCTGCAATATCGCTCATTTTACTGTAATTTAAGCTTTTGTGACAGTTGCATTTCATCACCATTTTAACTTTAGACCTTAAGCTTGTTTTGAGTTGATGTTTTGGGATTTTATCTTAAGATGGTGAGATTGTTTTTTCCCCATATAACATGGTTATTAACTCATTGCATCAGTAAGGAGCTTAAAACCTGTTTTTGACTGAAGGCATTTATTCACGTCACCCTGGGGAAGCAGAGCAGGACCACAATCTTGTTTAGCTATAACTGCTTATTCATTATCTCAATGTGTCAAAGCTAATTCCTGCTATAAAAGAGTAATTTATTAGTTTAAATTATTTATACATAATATGACATTATGCTCTGATCATGTCAGGCTGTTTTGTTTTTTAGTTGAAGAAAATAACATCTTAAAGGTTAATCTTAATGTCTTGTTCTTACATGTTTTATTACTTTATTGCCTCAACATCTCCAGATAATAAAATCTCAAGTTTGTTTTTCTTCATTTTAGATGTGATTAACCTTTCCCTGTTACAGGGATATGTACCTCAGGCTTTTAAGGTTGCTGTAATTCAGGGGTGCTCAAGCTGCAACTTTTTGATGCATTCCATTTTTAACACACCTGAATCAAATGGCTCATTACCTTGCCTCTGCTGGGCTAAATGAGGGGATTGAGCCTTTCGATTCAGGTGTTTTATAGAACAGATGCATCTAAAAGTTACAGGATGGTAGCTCTTGAAGACTGGACTTGAGCACACCTTCTGTAATTAGACCTTTACTTCATAAACCGTCTCTAGACCCAGATGACTTGATCAATTATAGACCTATATCCAATCTTCTCTCTTATCTATAATTCTTGAGAAAGTAGTTGCCAAACAAGTGTGTGACCACTTGCACCAAAAGGAACATTTTGAAGAGCTTCATTCTGGCTTTAGAGCTCATTATAGCACTGAAACAGCTCTGACGAAAGTCAATAATGATACTCACATGTCCTTAGATAATGGACTTGTATCTGTACTTGACCTGTTAGATCTTGGTGCTGCATTTGATACAGTTTATTATAATATTGTTTTAGAAAGACTTGAATATTTTGTAGGAATTAAAGGAACAGCTCTAGACTGGTTTAAATCTTATCTATCTGATCGGTTTTTAGTTTGTTCACGTTAATGACAAACCTTCCTCATGCTCAAAGGTTACCTGTGGAGTACCACAGGGATCAGTGCTAGGACCATTTCTCTTTACTATATATATATGTACCCAATCTGTAGAATTATTAGACAGCATGGGATTAATTTCCACTGTTATGCTGATGATACTCAGCTATATCTGTCTATAAATCCAGATGAAGTAAACCCATTATATAGACTACAGGCATGTCTTGAAGACATAAACATCTGGATGACTCTTAACTTTCAGCTTCTGAATGCAGACAAAACAGAAGTTATAGTCTTTGGACCAGAGTCTCTAAAAAAGAAGCTGATTAGTCAGTCACTTCATTTGGATGGGATTAAACTGATTTCAGATAATAAAGTTAAAAATCTTGGTGTTATTTTTTTCAGGATCTGTTATTTAAATCCCATATCAAAGAGGTTTCTAGAATTTCCTTCTTTCATCTGAG